CCCGCCCCTCTGGGGCGTTGCGGATTCCCCCCCCCCTTAATGCTGCGGGGGGGGGGGTCTCCATTCCTCTTGTTCTCTGGCCTTTCAGCAACACGCCTTCAGACTCCAGTCCTTTCTCACTCCACCCCATCTGCCTGACGGGTTTATTAGGTTCCTCACAGGGCCTTAATTGGCTACAGGTGCTTCAGTTGGCCTCTAGAAGCCTTCCCTAGCCTACAGGGAACCACGCCTTTATTAGCCACGGGCTTACATAACTCCCCTGTAGCCCTCTGGCTGCCTCTGGGCCCTGCTGCATCACAGACTGTACAAGGCCATGGAGCATCAAACATCTGGTGTGGGAGGGGTGGGGGAAGGGCTGCTATATTAGCAGCCCATGTGGCTTCCTGTTCTTAGACTCGTGGTGGTATTGGAGGGTGTGGCTTGACCTACCAAGGCTTTTTCCTTTTCTGTTTATAGGGTAGGTGCTCTCAGAACACTGCTGTGGGGCGGCTCAGCCAGTGTCTACAGGAGCAGCCCTTCCATCGCTGGAGTAGCCCCCGCTCAGAAAGCAGTAAGTAGGTCACTAGAAGAATTCTTCCTTTGACTTGCCTTTGACTTCTCCAGGGTTTGCTGCTCCTAACCTTTATAGGTGGTGCATGGGGGGCACGAGGGGCACATACCCCCAAATGCCATGGCCAGGAGGGGCAAGGGACTAGCAGCTGGCAGGACCAGAGCCTCTGGGTGGCTCAGGAGCTGGGGGGGTTGGTGCCTGCAGCTGGGGTCTAGCCCCCTTGCCCCCGCACTCACTGGCAACGGGGGGGAAAGCAGAGCACGGTGGCCCCAGTGCACTCCACTCCCACACTCACCAGTGAGAAGTGGAGCAATGCGGCCGAGGGAGCAAAGCAAGCTGGGACCATGTTGTCTGTGTCCCCTGCTGCTACTGGTGAGTGTGGGGGGGACCCCTGTTGCCCAGGTAGTCCCCTGGGCCACACTGCTTGGAGGAGGAATCATAGAGCTGGAAGAGACCTCAGGAGGCCATCAGGTCCAGCCCCCTGCTCTAGGCAGGACCAATCCCAACTAAACCAACCCGGCCAGGGCTTTGTCAAGCCGAGACTTATCCACCCCTAGGGATGGAGACTCCACTACTTCCCTAGGGAACCCATTCCAGTGCTTCACCACCCTCCTAGGGAAATAGTTTTTCCTAATATCCAACGTGGACCTCTCCCACTGTGATGGACCAGGCCAGGTCTGGGCACAGCTGAGAGCATCTGCTCAGGGCAAATTGCTCAAATTCGGGGCTCTCTATAGCCCCCAGACTGGGGACTTTCCCAAATAGGCCACAAACCAGTCCCACCAAGCGCCTCAGCTGCCTGCCTGGCCAGCCAGAAGCCTCACTAGCAAAACTCCTCCAACACTCCAGCAATATCTGTGCCCCAGATGGCCCTGGGCCTCATACACAGGTGAGGGTTTTAGAACCCAATCTCACCTTCCCTGAACAAGTTCTGTCCGGTTCCAAGAAACCAGCCACAGATCCCAAGTCAATTTACACTCTGGACCTTACCCACAATATCACGCTGAGCCAATCCTTTAGAATCTAACATCTAAAGGTTTATTACTAAAAGAAAGAAAAGCCTGAGAGCAAGGTTGTTAAAGTATCATACGTTACATGCATCAAATCTCCCAGTTCTCAATGCAGGCTTGCAGCAGAGATGTCACAGCTGCTGGCTTACATCCTGCTGGCTTACAGCTGTGTGCATCCTATGTCTGGATGGGTCCACAGTTCTTCCCGGCTCAAGATTCCCTGCGAGGCTGCATCTGGGATCAGGAGGGCACCTGGCCAGTGGCCCATCCCTGTGCTCCCTGCTGGTAGCCCTTAGGTATATGTCACCGTACTTGAGGTGTATCCTTGGCCTGTGGAGGGCTATTGTTCCATAGCGGCTTGCTCATTAGCATGTCCATAGGTTGAGCTTTGCCCATTTCTCAACCACATACTGAGACACATTAGCTGCATCTAGACTGGCAAGTTTTTCCGCAAAAGCAGCTGCTTTTGTGGAAAAACTTGCCAGCTGTCTACACTGGCCACTTGAATTTCTGCAAGAACACTGATGATTTCATGTAAGATTGTCAGTGTTCTTGTGGAAATACTATGCTGCTCCCATTCAGGCAAAAGCCCTCTTGCGCAAATGCTTTTGCGCAAGAGGGCCAGTGTAGACAACGTGGTCTTGTTTTGCGCAAAAGAGCCCCGATCGTGAAAATGGCGACCGGGGCTTTCTTGCGCAAAACCTCGTCTAGATTGGCCACGGACGCTTTTCCACAAAAAGTGCTTTTGCCGAAAAGCGTCTGTGCCAATCTACATGCTCTTTTCCGCAATGCTTTTAACGGAAAAATTTTTCCGTTAAAAGCATTTGCGGAAAATCATGCCAGTCTAGACGTAGCCATTCAGTACTCATATAAAGTACATGCTTATAACTTCACACTCAGACATTATACAATCACATGAATAGCATATATGGAATCAGAAGAAAGTAAGCTTCTATTTGACACCTCACATGGCCTCCTTTGTACCACTTTTAGGGCCAACACCCCCCGACGGGTGCAGCAGTGACCCGGCTGATCCCTTCATAATCCAATAACGTGACAGATGCCAGCCCCCTCATCATTTTGGTTGCCCTCCGCTGGACCCTCTCCAATGCATCCATATCCTTCCTGTAATTGGAGGCCCAGAACTGGACACAGTACTCCAGATGTGGCCTCCCCAGAGCCGAGTAAAGAGGAATAATCACATCTCTGGATCGACTGGCAGTGCTCCTCTTAATGCAACCTAGTATGCCATTAGCCTTCTTGGCTACAAGGGCACACTGTTGACTCATATCCAGCTTCTCATCCACTGTAATCCCCAGGTCCTTTTCTACAGAACTGCTACTTAACCAGTTGGTCCCCAGCCTGTAACAGTGCTTGGGATTCTTCCGTCCCAAGTGCGGTACTCTGCACTTGTCCTTGTTGAACCTCATCAGATTTCTTGTGGCCCAATCCTCCAGTTTGTCTAAGTCATTCTGGACTCTATCCCTGTCCTCCAGCGTGTCTCTCTCTCCCCCTAGCTTAGGGTCATCTGCAAACTTGCTGAGGGTGCAATCCATCCCTTCATCCAGGTCATTAATAAAGATGTTGAACAAAACTGGTCCCAGAACCGATCCTTGGGGCACTCCGCTAGAAACCAACCGCCATCCTGACATCGAGCCATTGATCACTACCCGCTGGGCCCGACCTTCCAGCCAGCTTTCTAACCATCTTACTGTCCATTTATCCAATCCACATTCCCTTAACTTGCTGGCAAAAATGTTGTGGGAGACCATATCAAAAGCCTTGCTAAAGGAGAGAGGCAGGGCTGGAGTAGAGCAATGGCAGGGAGAGAGAGGGCCTGGGATGAAGAGGGGGATGTCCCTGCCATTCCCCAGGCTGGGGGAGTGGTCATGTGGCCCCCATATCTCCCTTCACCAGTTACCTCTGCTATCCATGGCACTTGGAGGATGAAGTTTTTCACAACTGAGCAATAAAGTAGGCCAGATCTTAGAGTGTTGTCCCAGTGTGGGTGTCTCAGGGATTGGAAACAGGGCTACTTTACATGCTACTGGGCCAGCACATTTGTAGAATTGTTGGTGATGCCCAGAATGGGTCCACGTGCCTTTCCCGGCCCTGCCGGGGTGGGAGGGAGTTTAGGTGGGGGAGGGTTATGGACTCTAGGAGGGAGTTTGGGTGCAGGCTCTGGGTGTGGGCAGGGATGGGGGTGCAATAGGGAGTGAGGGGTGCAGGCTGTGGGAGGGTGTTTGGGGATTGGGGAGCTGAAGGGTGTGGTGCTTACCCTGGGGCACCCCCTCTGGCAGCGGCTCCTATGTGGAGGGCCCGGGGGGGGGGGGTCTCCATGCGATGCTGCCTAGGATATTCCTGGTGCCCAGGAACTATGGGCCCATAAACTTGCCATGCTGGGTTGAACTAACCCTGTTTTCTCCTGCCTGCAGGACTGTGACGATGACCCGCTGCTTCGACAATGAGAGTGTGGGGTTTTTCTACAACAACAGCCAGAAGGAGCTGACCTCCTACTGGAGGACCAAGGATGTCTTGGTTGTTACTCTGGGCCTGACAGTCAGCGTCATCGTGCTCCTGACCAACCTGCTGGTCATCACCGCCATCATCATCAACCGGCGCTTCCACTACCCCATCTACTACCTGCTGGGGAACCTGGCGGCCGCGGATCTCTTCGCTGGCGTCGCCTACATGTTCCTCATGTTCCACACGGGGCCCCGGACAGCAGGGCTCTCCCTCCGCACCTGGTTCATCCGGCAGAGCCTGCTGGACACCAGCCTGACCGCCTCCGTGGTGAACCTGCTGGCCATCGCTGTGGAGCGGCACCAGACAGTCTTCACCATGCAGCTGCACAGCACAATGTCCAACCAGCGGGTGGTGATTCTGATCTGCTGCATTTGGGTCACCGCCCTGCTGCTTGGCCTCATCCCATCCTATGGCTGGCACTGCCTGTGTGATCTGAGCAAGTGCTCCCGCATGGCACCCCTCTACAGCAGGAGCTACTTGATCTTCTGGGCCATCTCCAACCTGGTCATCTTCCTCATCATGGTGGTGGTCTACTCGCACATCTTCATCTATGTCAAGAGGAAGATAACGCACATGTCCAAACACACCAGCTTCCACCCCCGCTACAAGGAGACCATGATCAATCTCACCAAAACCGTCGTCATCATTCTCAGTGAGTTGTTTCCCGCTCAGTGCGGCTCCTCCCCGTGTCTGCCTGGGTCTTGGGGGAGGTGTTTTGAGCCACCCTCCTCCTCCTCTGGGACTCCAGGGGGATGGTTTGCCTCTGGTGTAACTTAGAGCAGCCTCAAGACTCCCCTACCCTACCTGCAACTGGAGTGGCTCCCATGGGGGTGTTTAGGGCAACACTGAGGTGGCAATAACTATGTCCCCTTGTCCTCTCCCACAGTGCCACCAACACACCCTGGAAGATGCAAGGGGGCAGCTATGCTATCCGTATGCCACTGAGGGGTTCCTGCAGGCTGGGAAAGTCCTCAGGCCTGCTGTATTTCAACACAAAGGGGTGGTGCAGGGGTTAAGAATCCAGCCCTCTGGCCCGTAAAAAGAAGGCTGTTTTTTTCTGGTGTCCTGCGTGTGTTTTAGTGGTATGGCCTGCGTAATGGAGAGAAGCTGATCCCCAGCTGTCTACTACAGCCGTCCGTTTTAGTACACAGTGGTTCTGATGTCAAAGTAGCTCTGTTCCTTTCTATCCTGCTGGAGCATCACAAGTGACAAAGGAAGTTCTGTGCACAAGTGACAGTCCTTGCCACCAATAGTGCAGGTGTAAAGCACAGGGTAAGAGGATGGAGCTGGGGCACTGATAGCCCTTGCGACCTGCTGCACTTTCTTGTTTCCTCTCCTTCCACCATCTCTCTTCAGCCTCTTTGACTACAGTGTGGCCTGTTACCTGCTGCATCTTCCCAGCTTGGAGTGCTGATTTTGAAGGTTTTCGAGTCCCTTTTGTCCAGGTCCTGGCTGCTCTGCGTAAACACTAAAGCCACCAGAAGGGGCTCTCTGTGAGAGCCTCTGGGCCAGCCCCCCTGTGGCTATCCATTGAGAAGCACCACAGAGATCTGGCAAAATACCCCAAGAGAATCTGGCCCAAGGTTTGTCCTAGTCTCCCTGGCCAGTGATGTGCATTGGGGGGGCGGCTGCTGCTGCTGTCCTGCACTCCAGCGGCAGCTGCCCGTTAATGTCTTGGAGTGTAATAGTCTGTACAAGTCTTTGGGGAGTTTGAGGTGAAAGGCATCAACCATAAAGGGGATATTAGTTATAATTTATAACCATGCAGGCTGCAGCGCTGGGGTGCTGTTGCAGTGCCAGCAGGACCTTGTTGCAGGGTGCCTGGCAACTGCAGGTCTATTTCGAGGAAATCTGTTGATTCTTTTATCATTACTTTTTATTTACCACACCTAAAGTACTCCATCTGCAGTGAATCACCATGTTAAGCATCTCTGCAGCCCAGCTCAGACTGAGCCTGTGGTCAAACTCCCTGGCTTGCAAACCTCCCCTGATAAGTGCAGAATTTGCTCAGTCAGGGAAACCTTCAAGCTGCAAACAGGCTACTCCCTGCAAACTCCTGCTGACAGAGCTGGGCCCCGGAGGGGGAGGGGTCCCTAGTGCAGCAGAATTATTCCTTGTTTTTGAGTAGTGGAAGAGAATGAGCCTTCTTATCCTCTTGCAACTTGCTAGCAGGGTGCTAGGGCTTTGTGTCTTGCATGCTAGATCCCTCCCGCCGTGTGGCCTGCTGCCAGCTTGTGCCCATAATTGCCTAGAAATCAATCGGCAGCTATAGACAAGTTCAGCGGGTCTGGGACATGTTTTGTTTTGTTTATTTTGCAGTCAGGAACAGGGCAGATTATTTTCCACCCTCCAGAACAGTCGTTCACTTTGAGCGGACATTACTGGCATGTGGGGAAGGAGGGAAGATTTCTGGCGGCTTCGCTGGATCATCTAAGATACGGGGAGAGAGGGACACAGACCTAATCCACCTTTCTGTTGCAAGGATCCCTTTCCAACGTTTCGCTGCCCCTGGAACTGGAAACCAGCAGGGGAGAGCCTGGAGGAGAGGCTCTGTGCTGGTTTGCAGCATGCTGGGGCTGGTGGCTAAGAGGAGCTGATCAGTTCCTTGCGAGGAACCGGGGCCTTCTGCCCATCATAAGGGGATTGTATGGAGGAGATGGAGAGGACTTGCCCAATGCCCTTAGCATCCCATAGCAGAGTGCTAGGTTCTGCCCTTGTCAGGAAGGAAATGACAGAGCCAGCTCTTCACCCAGACATCTGAGCAAGGGGGGCGTGGGGGCGGACCCTAGGGGGCTTTACTACTCAGAGCCGCGACATGCCCGTTAATGTCACAGCTCAACACGTGCTGCCAGTGCGGCTAATGCAGAGATTTCCTGGGATACTCTCCTTCCCCAGCTCCACAGGCTTCTGCAAACTTGGCCTTCTCCAGAGATGGATCTTCCCCTTGCGCACTGGGGAGGCAGGGCCGACTTATCCAGTAGGCACAGTGCCTAGGACCCGCGATACTCTTAGGGGCCCATGAAAATGTTTTAATTTCTTTTAAAATCAGAAGCTTAGTGACTGTAAACTGTATGGCCACTCGGCCATGATGGCGGATAGGAGGCCCCTCCGCCTCAGCGCAGTCTACTTCTCACAATAAGCGAGGTACGTACTTCGACTGCGTTGGTATGAAGACGAATATAATCCACCCTGGATTACAGTCGTCTTTATAACAACGCAGTTGTCAAATATAATTTTTCATATTTTTTTTATGGAGGAAGGGGCCCACGAAGGCAAAAGTGCCTAGGGCCCACGGAAGTCATAATACGGCCCTGTGGGGAGGGTGTGATGGCTGGTGGGAGGGTTAGAGACCCGCAGGGGAAGCAAGATCGGACAGCTGTGGGTAAGGGATCGGATAGGCCACTGATGGTAAAGATGGGAGCAAAGGGGCAGGGAGGATGGCGGAGACTGGGGAGGTGCAGCATGTCGGTGAGGAAAGGCATAGTCCTGCTGCCCATGACAACAGCAGCAGAATTCCCTGAGTCCAGATTGCACCGCAGAGCAGATGAACCGCTGGTCGGGCTCCAGGCTGTGCTCAAGCCGAGCACCCTAGGGGAAACTAGGCAGCGGGAGATGTTCTCCCAAACACCATGGACGAGAGCCATGTCGTAACTGAGCCAGCGTCAGGAGTCTGTGCAGCCAGAGCCCTTGGGGGTTTCAGTGGAGTCGAGAGAGGGGCCAAGGCCGTTCGCGTGGCTGACAGCGAGACAGCCTATTCTTGTTTGGGCTTGTGGGCACGTGTGTGCATGAAGCACGGTCCCCTGGGTGCCCTGGCCTGAGCACAAGGCTGGAGCGAGTGGATGGCGTGAGGCACTCGCAATCGCGTGCATGGGCCAGAGAGCTAATTGCCAGCCCGTTTATAGCCTCCTGGCCATCCCATTGCCTGATCCTGCCCTGTGCACCCCTACTCTTCCAAAGACAGCCCAGCCACTGCATGCCAGTTGTTCCCAACAGCTGCTGGCAGCTACCCGGTGGGTCACACCAGGCCGTATTCTCTGCTGCTCTAATTGTATTGGCTGTATCGCATCAACAGAGAATTGGCTCCATAAATGTCTTTGCCCCCATGGGGAAACGGCAAGATTTAGACAGCTTATTGCTCAATAAAGGAAACAAAAAGCATCTGGTTAATGTCAGTGTTCAGGAGCTCGGTCAGGGAGGGGGGACGTGCGCATACACGTGTGTGTAATGTCCAGGGAAAGCTTCTGGAATGGATGCTCTTCAGGAAGCACAATATGGGGCATGTGAAAGATGCTTTTGGGTTGGAAAAGTGTTTCACTTGTGACTAAGAAACAGCAAAGTGAACGGATGGGTCTGTCGGTTACCCACCGTGATGGCACAGAGGGACTTTTCCTGAAGTGGGTGGGTTTCTGTCTCCTAGGTGACACTTAAAAACGTGGGTTAGTGATAACTGCTCCAGAAAAGCTTCCCCTGTGAACATTCATATTCCAGAACCAGTGTCCCAGGCAAGCTCTGTTCCAGAACAGATGTAGTGAGTTACAGTCATCTGAAGTAACTGTCCTGTGAGTGAGCCCCTAGACAGACCTCTTGTAACTGAAACAAGACAGGACTGTGCAGCACTTTAAAGTTATCTCACCCATTACAAAGATAGCTTCCCCAATTATCACCTCTAATATCATTATCTCATTGACATTAATCTCCCCCCCTCAGTCCTCTCTGTTCTAAAATCTGATTTGTCTATTTTATATGTGTTCACTCTGATTGTATCCCTTTGGTACATATGGCCATGCCAGTTTTCTTCCACAATCTGATCTGAGGAAGTGGGTCTGGCTCACGAAAGCTCATCACCTGATAAACCATCTTGTTAGTCTTTAAAGTGCTGCACAGTCGTCTCTTTTGTTTCAGCCAGACCAGACTAACGTGGCTGCATCTCTATCACTGCTCTTGTAACTGGGCAGTGAGAGTGAGATCAAAGTCGGGGCCTGGCAGCCACCAAGTCTCTGGTGAGCCAGGTTGTCAGCAGGCCATGATGGGGAAACAGATTTTCTGAAGAACTTAGCTCCTGTTTTGGCACCAAAATGCAGGTGCAGGTGCTCAGACAGAAGAGCCTGGGTACAGCACACCTTCGAGAGTCTAGCCCCGTCATTTAGGGTCCAAAGAACGCTTCCAAGAACTTGGGCCCAGTTGTGGGCTCTAAGCCCTGGGTAATTTGGCCTGGCATGCACGGGCCAGAGAGAGGCAGTAGATGTCGGACAAGCTGGGAGCATGGCTCTTCCTGACACCGTGGGGCACTTCTCCTCTAAAGGCTGAGTGCAGAATTTCCCTTCCTTCTCTTCCCCCTTGAAATTAGGACCAAAGCAATGGTCTTAATAGAGGGTTTCAGAGTCACTCTCTCATTTTGGAACCGCCCCGTCCCCAGCAGTTGATTTCCAGTAAAGGGTGTAGTTGAAAACTCGCAGTGAGCACTTTGCCTTCTCTTCCACCCTCCCCCAGGAGACAGGCCAGGACACAAACTCCCAGAGTAACAAGATGCACCCTTGAAAGCTGCCAAGGGAGTGCACGGTTTACCGCAGCCTCTGCACTAAAAACACAACTGCAAATAGCAGGGATCCAGAATGCACAAGAATCGCCCTAGAAACCTCTCCCTCTCCCCCCCCTCCCCCCGCCGACCTCATTCATCCACAAAATGGCCATCCTTTGTTCTTCGAAATCCTTCTGCTAAACGATTATTTCCCAAAGAGTAGTTTGTTGTAGGAATGTACAGAATGTAAAAATCAGAATTCTGTTGGTTATATGGTTAACCACAGGGCTTGGGTGCCTGTTGCTGGCTCCCGACCCCACGGGACTGCCAGCCTCTAGCCCCACAGCATAGCGTGGTGGACCCGGCTAGGCCAGAGTGGGGCATGTGCCAGCTGGGCCAGGCACCAGTTACCTGTTTATCTCTCTAGTTTGCTGTGATGATGCAGCCATGTGGGACTCAGGATATAGGAGGGCCGACAGCTTCCACAGGCCCCTGTTGTGTGGAGGCAGCCCTGGATCCATGCCACCGGAAGGAGTGGGGCCTTGGGTGGAAAGGATGGGGCCGGGACAGCCAGCCCTCAAAGCTGCTTGGACTGCAAAGTAGGGACATAAAAGTGTAGTCAATTAACCAATAAGCAAAAGCTGACAGGTTAATGCTATAGACTTAACGCATTCTCCCCACCCACCACCACCAATAAACGTTTAGCAGGCTGGCCAGCAGCCCGGCTCAGTCCTGGCTGATACAGGGTTCAGGACCTACTCCCACTGTGGCTCTGCACTTAAAAGTATATTAGGAACCAGGCAGCCCAGCTCAGTTCCAGCTTATGCCAGGTCTGGGAGCTCAGCCCTCACCCCGGACGGGCTGCTGCCACCCTGCATTGCTGCCTCTGTATCTGCGGGTTTGTGAGGGTATCTGGTTTTCCTTGTTTGGGGGTTTGGAAATCATGTCTGAGCTGGTTAATTGTTTTTCTCTGTTCTTTTGTAATTAAGAATTATACCCCAAGAAAAATCCCTGAGTCTATTTCAGTCCATGGCTTTTAACACCCAATCGTTTACTATGCTTGCAACAGTAGTCTTGTTTTAATAATAAAAGTGTTTTTCTTTTTGTTTTGATTAATCAATATTAGTTCATTTTTGTGTCCTTAAACCTACATGCCTAAGTGAAACCACATTACCTGGGAGAAGCAGAACCACATCGTTCTCTTTGTTTTCCTAACTCCAAGCAAAAAGAAGGTTAGGATGGGGGATAGCTTCCAAGTGGTTTCTTCCCTGGAAAAGGCTGGGGGGGAAGAAAGGGGGAAAATAGCGAATTAGAGTGTTCATGTTACAAGAAGCTAATAGAGAAGGTGCAAATTGTTCTGAAGTACCCATTGTTTGGTTGGTTAAGTCTTTAGGATGTGGACTGTAGAGTGCTAGCCAGGTAATGTCTTTATTCATATCTTTGTGATGGCTCCCAAATTTGTAAATGAAGTTATGCTCCAATGCTTCCCTGTGTATTCGGCTTGTGGAATTGGCCTGAAACAACACAGTAACTTTAAGATCCACTAATGGGTGCCCAGGCAGGT